AAAAAATCACAAAAGAGAGGGAGAAGGGAAAAGGTAAAAAAAAAAAAAAAAATTCTCCTCAGTATACACTTGAGATAAAAGACATGTTTAATGGATATAATACGAACGTGAGGCTCAATGTGAGTAAATCATGAGGACCAGATAATCTGCATGCAGCCAAGGGTAACTAACCCCTTCACGACCCATGACGGGACAATCCCGTCATGGGTCCTAGGGGTCCCATGACATGTCTTTTGGACCCCTAGTATCACCTTAAAGATGTAAGCCCCCTTATGTGATAGCAATTAAAGTTTTAAAAAAACAAAACAGTTTTAAGAATAATATTTAATAAACTAAATGTAAACACGTGCCGAGAGCACCAGCGTACAAAAACGACGATTGCGCTACACATGTTGGGTATCGCCCACGGCCGGTGCTGCCACTGGTGCCTAGGGCGCAGCCTCGAGCACTCACTCGAGCTGAAATCTATGGGCATAGATGAAATGGTGCATATATGGATAGACAACTAGCTACAGGAACGTGTCCCGAGACTATCTGTAAATGGCTCTTTTTCAAATTGGTCTAAGGTCGAGAGCGCTGTGCCCCTGGATTCTGTGTTAGGCCCCATACTTTTTAACCTGTTTATTAATGATATTGGGAAAGTGTTAATAGCCATGTGTCTGTGTTTGCAGATGATACTAAAATTGGCAGAGTAATAGACACAAGCTTAGACATTAATATGGATAAAATAGGGGAGTGATCAACTATGTGGCAGAAGAGGTTTAATGTGGAAAAATTTAAAGTAATGCATTCTGGGGTTAAAAATAAGCAGGCTGAGAACACAATAATGGGTACTCCACTAGGGAAGTCAGAAATAGAAAAAAGATTTGGGGGTCATAGTTGACTACAGATTAAACAATAGTATGCAATGCCAGGCTGCAGCTAACAAAGCTAGCAGAGTACTTTAATGCATTAAAAAGGAATGTACTCTAGAAACAAAGCAACAATCTTGCCACTTTACAGATCACTGGTTCGGTCTCATCTTGAGTATGAGGTTCAGTTTTGGTCACCAATCCACAGAAAGGATGTCCTTGAGCTGGAGGGAGTCCAGAGACGGGCAACAAAACTAATTAAGGGGCTGGAGGACCAAAGCGATGAGACAAGGTTGCTAAATGTAAACGTGTTCATGCTGGAAGTGAGACGATTGAGAGGGGACATGGTTTTGATGTACAAAATGTTAAATGCTAACGGCAACATCAGCAATAAACTTTTTACTGTAAACTCCCTAAAGAATTTTAGAGGGCACCAACTAAAATTGGAGGAGAAAAATGTAACCACAAAGGGCGTAGGGGCTTCTTTTCAGTTACATTTTGGAACTCTCTTCCACTAGTAGCAGTATCAGCAGACAGTATTGAATCATTCAAAAATCAATTAGATACCTTCCTCAGAGACCATAACCTACAGGGGCACAAGTACTCTAAAAGACTAGAACACACAGGGACTCATATATACACACACGCACACAAACACACACAGGTTGAACTTGATGGACATGGTGTCTTTATTCAATCTCAAATACTATGCAACTATGTATACCGTAGGCGCCAGCCCATATATATTGCAATAAAGAAGAACACAGAGGGAAGGATGTCCATCTTATAGAGGGCTATCCTACCATACCACGTGTAGTTCAGTCGCGACCAAGAATGTAGCTTCCAATGAATGGAGGACAAAAATAGCTTGTAATTTAAATCGTATAACACCTACACAGAGGAGGACAAAAAGATGCTCAAATATTTTAGTGCAGTAGGTGTCCAAGTGAAGGGGGAAAAAAAAAAATCACACTGAAGATCGGAAGCAGACTGAGTTAACAAAGACACGTTAAGAGCTATACATTTTGTCACATTAAAAGGAGAACTATGAGGTGAGTGCTTTTGAGCTCCAGAGCTACAAGGAATGCAATAGGAGATGTAAAAGTGCAATCTGTGCAACTAGAATAGATTAAAGGAGAACTATGAGGTGAGTGCTTTTCACTCACCTCATAGTTCTAGCCGACCTGTGACAATGAGACAGTCACAGGTCGGCTCAGTAGATCGGGAGGTGAGCGAACACATACCGGGTTCGCTCGCCTCTCAATCCTGTTACGGCTCTCTGCCGTGACAGGGGGAGGGGCTGGATTCCCCTCTCCCTGCTCCGTTATGCCAGCGTTGACTGGCGGAACGGACGGGGGAGGGGGCGGGTACAGCTGCCTCTGCCTCTAGATAGGCAGAGCCAGCTGTCACTCACGCAGCTGGGCGGATCCCGTCATCTAAGTCGGGGTCCGCTCCAGCTGCGGCGTCTCAGTATACCGTGGTATGGCTCGCGGTATACTGAGCTTAGGGTAACGGGAGGACGCTAGTTTGTGTCCTCCCGTTACCCTAAGGAGAACTATGGGGAAAAACACTGACCCCATAGTTCTCCTTTAACTTTGAAATTACTTTTTAAAGTTTAAAATTAAAAGTAGGACCATAGTGGACACCCCTGACAAGTCTCATTGTAGATAGAAATTGAGCTAGAGAGGATCCCATTAACACACACTCTAGCTGGGCCTGGTAAAGGGTTATAATTTTAACAAGAAGACTATTAGGAATTCCAATGTGCTCCAGAGTTGAAGAGGAAACTCCAATCAAGCCGATCAAACACCTTCCCTGCATTTATGGAGAGAAGAAACAAGGGAATGCAATGTTTCACTGCATAGCCCATCAGATTGAGGGTCTTCATCTTGTTATCCTAGCCTCTCTGTGAGGAACAAATCCCACCTGGTTGAGGTGAATCAAAGATGTTGTGTGACGTTCAAGGCATTCCACAATAAGTATAGTGAAAAGATTCAGATAAAGATTGATCAAATAAATTGGCTGATAACTGGCACATAGGGCAGGGTCTTTGTTATCCTTGAAGAAGAATTTGCAACTAATTAAGTTAATTGGCAACAGGTTAGTAACATGATTGGGTATAAAAAGAGCATCTTAGTAAAGATCCCCACACACCTTGCGATTATCGTACGATAATCGCGGGAAATTCCGTTATCGTGCGATAATCGGCAGGTGAATGGAAAACGTGCGACCGTTTCTACTGTACGGTCCCACGTCTTTTGTCGAACCAGCATGCTAGAAAACCCGCCGAGCATAGTACGATTGTTGGCCGGTTAGTGGCGTGCTCGTTCGACAACTGCGGAACGGGCCGGTGTGCACACGCGCACACTGCCCGTTCAGCATTGCGGTCATCGGAAACCCGCCCCTCAGCGCGGTAGGCTTGCGATAATCGCAAGTACGATCTGCCTGTCTAAGATGGGCAGCAGATCGTAAAAGCTTTTAATTAGCTTACTACCATTGCAAGACAAAAGTCTTGCGATGGTTCTAAGGTGTATGGGCACCTTAAGTCAAGAGTTTCTCAGAAAACAAAATGGGCATAAATTCAGCAATCTGTAAAAAGCTGCATCTAAAAAATATCATGCAATTTCAGAATAATGTTCAACATAAAATTGCAAAGACTTTAAATATATAATTATTTACAGTACATAATATAATCAAAAGAATCTAAGAATCTGGAGAAATCTCTGTGTGCAAGGGACAAGGCCGAAACACACTGGATGCCTGTAAGGCTGCAACTAATGATCATTTTAATAATTGATTAGTTGGACAATTGTTTTTTACATTAATCGGATAAAAAAAAAAATACCATCCTTAATCTAAAATAAAATACAAAGTGTTACAAAGTTTACTCAAAAATAAAACCGCATGCACAATTTTTTGCAATCGCACTGCACTGGAACGCACGGCATCGCGTGCCTTGCATATTTCAGCAGGACAATGCTAAACCGAATACTGTATCTATGACAACAGGATGGCTTTGTAGTAGAAGAGTCCGGGTCTATAACTGGCTTGCCTAGAGTCAAGAACTTTCACCAATTGAAGATTTTTAGCGCATTTTGAAACAAAAAATATGACAAAGAAGACCCAGGACTGTTGAGCAGTTAGAATCCTATATCAGGCAAGAATAGGACAACATTCCTCTCCAAAAACTCCAGCAACCGGTCTCCTACAGAGTGTTGTTAAAAGAAGAGGGGATGCTACGCCATGGTAAACATGGCCTGTCCTAACTTTCAGATGTGTTGCTGCCATCAATTTCAGAATTATCTTATTTTTTTTTCTTAAAATTGTACATTTTCCCAGTTTAGGCATTTTATATGTTTTAAATTTTCTATGGTCAATAAAATATGGGTTTATGAGATTTGCAAATCATTGTATTTTATTTTTATGAAGATTTTACACAGCATTCCAACTTTTTGGAATTGGGGTTGTATGATAAAGCAGTATTTCTGTCGTGTCAAAGATCACCAGCTGTGTGTTGATATGTTCAGCTCCCAGCACCGTTAGATCTGTGTAGATACGCAAATGTAGTATTCTTTCAGGTGCACACTTGCATTTTAGATCAATTTTAAAAGCTTCTGAGATCAGTCTGAATACTCTCTTAAGCTGGCCATACACCTGTCAATTTCTTTCGTTCAACCCGCAGGCTGAACGGGAGAAATTGATGCAATTCCTCCAACACAAACAGCATGTCAATTGAGGAATCGCCGCTTTGAATCATAGTCTGATACATGCCGCAGGCACCTGTCAGAATGCCCAATCAAAGCGGGCAGCTCATTGACTGCTGGCTCTGATAGTACGAAGATTTTCCAGCCGGCTCCTTTGATCAGCTGATCGAGGAATGCCGGCTGATTGAAACTGCATTTCACCTAAGCTGATTTTATAACCTCATTGACTTGTATGGGAAGAAATGCAGTAAACAAAAGCAAAAATATACAAGCCATCTGTTATGACCATGGATACTGTAAGGGCCTGGACAGAGCAGGTGTCTAGTGCATATGTGTACTCCCTACCATCCAACAGATACAAAAAAAATTTTTTTTACAGTTCTAAAATTAGTTTAACAAGCTTTACACTCTTATAAACAAGACCTATTCTCTGAAGCGCTGATACCTTGTAATGCCTGTAGGGATTGATATCTTCTTGTGTAGAGTCCTGGGAATACATAGGACTGGGGCATCTCTCTGGAGTATTTATGTTACTGGTTCCATCTGCAGAAAACAGAATAAAAGGCATTTATATACAGCTATGGAATAAAAAAATTTGCTGCCATAATATTTCTAAAAAACAAAAAGAGAAAACAAGTAACCTGCCTGCTGTTCATAAATTATGTCATATACAGTAGTCTGTAAACACTTCTACTGATTTTCAAAGATTAGTAAGTTGACAAGGCAGATAATGTACAATCTGACCACCCTCAGGGCAAGATGTCTGCAAACCATGCAATACACTTGACATCTCTTACAAGGGAGGGGAGCAGGAGGCTGGTATCAGATTAAGAGGGTGGGGGACAAAAGCAATTGGGATAAGTTACAATTTTAAAGTTTCCCTCCAGCCAAACTTTGCACTGTTGAAGTTTTGCAATACAAAACTAGAATAAAAAATACATTAATATGCTCTTACCCTAGAACTCTGTTCCAGCAAAAAAAAAGTTACATAAAAAGGGGTCTACTTTTTTCATTGAAGACAAACCATTATGAGGGGGACCAGGAATGCACAACCATTGTGTAAGCACTGCAAAGAAGAAGGGTTTTAGCACACAATAATAAGATTACTTACATCGAGCTGGTCTTGTTATGTTTCTTTTAAACATATACAAGGAGGGGGGGTGTTGGCCTGGCGGCAATTGTGAACGAACGCAGCTGAAGGAGCTCTGGCATACTATTCTTCTAGCCTAATCTTGGCATACCCACTTCGCTCTCCATACTCACCTCCTTGGCTGGCTGCCTCTCTTGTTCGGTTCTGAGGCTTTTGTGAGTTGGGATGACAAAGAAGAAGGATCCGGCCTTCACTGACGGCCCAAGCTCATAAGATGGCGGCAACGCTTGTGCCCCTTTACAGACTCCACGCAAAGCAGAAAATCGCTCTAAAGGCGTGGCTACACAGCTCGAGAAGTATTGGCGGGGTACTCCAAAAGGGTTGAGCCGGGCGATCGGAGTGGGTGAAGATGATGGCTGTGACACTCTGCTATCCCGAGAATCTGTTGCAGGCTCAGATGTGTCTGACGTGGAAAAGGAAACCGAGTAATCTACCTACTTCTTCCTTGCTACCTAAATAGCCCAAATCCTGTGTCTCTTCACCTGAGCCTACCCTCAAAGATGTTTTCTCTGCTGTTCAGAGCTGCAATGCTTCCCTGACTGACCAGGTTCCAGGCATGCAGATGGACATTTCATTTCTCCACCATGATCTCCGCAAGGGGTCGGGAAAGGACCAAGGTGTTGGAAAGCCAGCTCGGGGATATGGAGGATCTCACTGCTCCGATTCAAATCAACCTTGCTTTACAACGCTCGTCTGAAAATTCTCTTACAACGGAAGATATTGAGAATAGACTCAGTCGCAATAAAATTAGAGCTGTCGGCGTTCAAGAGCGTGAGGAAGGCCCTAATCCCACTGCGTTCAATGAAAAATGGCTGCTGGATACCATTGGGAAAGAATATATCTCTCCCCCATGTTTATGGTGGAACGTACCCATAAGGTACCGACTCGTCTGGTGCTCCACTGCATCCTTTGCTGATACAGATGCTAAACTACAGGGACAAGGAAGCCATTCTACATAGAGCTTGGGAGCTGGGAGATCTCTCTTTCTCTTGCTGGGTCCATGGTCATGTTCTTTACCCGATTTCTCACAAGAAGTCCAGAAAAGAGGAGCCAAGTTTCAGGATGTCAAACGACGCCTTCATGAGCTGAAATTCCAATATTCCATGCTCAACCCTGCTAAGCTCAGGGTTATTGCTGATGATACCATCTGCTTTGATTATCCGGGTTCCGTCTCTGCCTGGCTTGACAAGAGATCACGCAAGAGGAATTATCTGCCTCAAGATTTTTCGCCTGCAAGTTCTTGTCTCTTCGAAACCTTCTTTTACCGTGTTCAACCTGTGCATTGGAGGATGTTAACTCTCCTGATTCTATGTGCTTGAACATTCATGCTCATCATTTTGTTTTGAATGCGGACTCCTATGTCTCCAGCCCCTATGTTCTCTCCTGTGTGGAGAATGTTTCTCCTGGTTTTTTTTATGTGTTATGCTGGTCCAATAATTATGCTGGTCTTTATGGTTAAATTATGATTTGTTTGTTTTTGTTTTCTCTTTTACAGGTCACAAGATACTGATCAACGATAGCTCTTAATATAATATCTGCATTCTGCCTGATATGTTACCAAGTGTATATTGTCATGTCCCATCCTTACCTCATTCTGGCTTTGATATACTTCAATAGCAATAAGTATGACGGAACATAGGCTCCCTGTTTTTTCATGGAATGTTTGCAGCCTGGGCAACAAAGCTAAGAGACAAGCTGTTTTTATGTCTGTTGTATTGCACAGGCCTCCTGAAGGCACATTGTGTGCCTTCAGGAGACCCATGCCACTGCCGAATGTAAATGTAAGGTAAATGCTTTCAGTCTGCATTCCATTCATGCTAATCCTCCTATGCCAGAGGAGTACATGTCTTGATTCACAATGGGGTCCTGTTCTCCTGTATGCAGTTGAAAATTGATCCAAATGGTAGATGCATCTTCATGCACTGTACCTTGTTTAGTGTCAGAACTATTGGGCCAATAGGCCTAAACATGTCATTTTACAGATGTGTCTATGGGCATACTAGTAGCCATTTTGTCTATGTGCTATAAGGTGAAAATAAGTTAATTCTTCTCTTGTACAGAGACCTTCACAGAGAGATTAGGAATGTTAATATAAACATTCTTCAGATTGTAAATGGTGGGGGTCTCAGACGCATATCAGTTGAGGATAGTACCAGCCTGTGTCGGTCTTGATTGATTACTTCTTGCCTCCCTACGAGAGATTGGAGTTTCTAAAGAGTTTTCTTTGTTCAATGAATAAGAAGAAAGGGGCTTATTTAAAAGTTCCTTATGAAACATTAATATTCATTGTGGTGATAATATATTAGTAACAATGTTATTATATTATATGTAGCATCTATCTGCCTACTTAATTGACTGATTTTAAGTAGAATTTTATACATGTACTTTTATATATCCAAACTATATTCATTATATATATTGTTTGAGTGTAGCCATTGAAAGATATTGTTGTTTATTACTAATAATGGGGTTTTTATATTTAAGTGCATAGAATTAGGTGTATATGCCAAGGTGTATTCTTTTCTTATATGTATGAAAAACGTTTGGGTCTAACTTTAAACTAAGTACCTAATTTTTAAGGAATTTGAGGATTGCTAATGGATTCTTTTAGATCGTCTCTAAGGGAATAAATCGTAGCGCAGACTTAAAGTCTGGCATGGTGTGATTAAGGATTGTCAAAAGTTTATATTCATGGTTTTGTCCAAGGTCTGAGGTTAAAGGTTATATCACTGCCTTATCTTTAAAAATTAATTAAATTAAATGCTCCCAATTTTCACATAGAACAATAGTGCCCCTTGATGGTGATTGTAAGGGAAAGGTCCATGACCATATAGCGTATTTGACGTCATGTTTCACGTCAGTAATCACGTGATAGATCAAACCAAGCCCACACCGCAGGGGGGGATATAGATCAGGAGCCAAGAGGAGATTGGGATTCCATCAAGAGAGAGAGTCGAACAAGACAAGGCAGTAAGCAAATACATTCCAAGGGTATAGGTCAGAAGCTGAGGACGGCTGTCCCAGGAAAATGAACTAAAGAGAACCTGACTATCCCTGGTTGCTGAGCATATTCTGTGCGATACTGAAAAGACACCCATTACATTTAAAAAGTTGTTTTATCTTGGTTACATTTATCTGTTGAATTAATATCCTGTGGTTACATTTTATGCATTACCTTTGTTATCAAATTGATTGATATTATCTGATCCATATTCTTTGTTGTCACCAATTATATTTTATTATTAATTTTGCACTGATTTTTGATAAATAAATATCTATATTTTGTATACTTGGTATTCCTCTTGTCTTCAAAGTCAGCGCAAATGAAAGAACTCGCGTAAATTTTTATGGAAATACATTGGGAATCTCCTTAACCATAGATTTTTAATTGTTTTTAATTGTTTCCATAAATAGAACTGTATATCAGAGCAGTATAAACATTCTGACATTAGCACAGAATATATTTTGGCTAATGTGAGGAAATTATTTGAACCCCTGCAGATTTTGTAAGTTTGCCCACATACAAAGAAATGAAAGGTCTATAATTTTTTTATCATAGGTGTATTTTAAATGATAGAGACAGAATATCAACCATAAATCTAGAAAAAAAACACCATACAAATTATATAAATTGAGTTGCAGTTCAGTGCTTAAAATAAGTAGTTCATCCCCATGCAAAACATGACTTAGTACTTGGTGGAGAAACCCTTGTTGCACAGAGCACAGAGGTAAGACGTTTCTTGTAGTTGGTTACCAGGTTTGGTCCACTCATCTTTTACAGATCTTCTCTAAATCCTTAAGGTTTCTTGGATGTCACTTGGCAATTCGAAGTTTCAGCTCCCTCCATACATTTTCTATAGGATTAAGGTCTAGAGACTGGCTAGGCCACTCCATGACCTTAATGTGCTTCTTGAGCCACTGCTTTGTTGCCTTGACGGTATGTTTTGGGTCATTGTCATGCTGAAAAACCCATCCATGACCCATCTTCAGTGTTCTGCCTTGGGGAAGGAGGTTCTCATCCAAGATTTTACAATACATGGTCCTGTCCATTGGCCCCTCAATGCCGCAAAGTGGGCCTGTACCTTTAGCAGAGTAACAGCCCCAAAGCATAAATGTTGCCACCTCCGAGCTTTACTGTAGGGATGGTGTTCTTAGGGTCATAGTCAGCATTTTCTTCCTCCAAGCATGGCAAGTCGAGTTAATGCCAAAGAGCTCAATTTTGGTCTCATCTGACCGCAGCACTTTCTCCCAATCCTTCTCTAAATTATTTAGATGTTCATTGGCAAGCTTCAGATGGGCCTGTACATGCAACTTCTTGAAGATGGGGATTTTGCGGGTGCTGCAGGATTTCAATCCATGGTGGTGTATTGTTACCAATGGTGTTTTGGTGACC